GGAAAAAAGTCAAAATTCGATGAAACTCTGCAAAGTTTTGTCATCAGGGATTTTTCAGTATAATTGCTACTCTGGACTATGGTATTAGGACACCTTGTAAGGGACATCTATTGTGTCATGGATAATTTGTCACTAAAAATTAGTACAAAACTTTGAGTGTAATTTTTATTACTATTCTCTAAAACTTTATCATTGTATTTATTATCCATGGATTTGTGTTACATAAGGGCATTTTCATACTGCTATATTTTATGATTTCTCCCACACTCCCTCCCGTCCCCACATCCACGAATCCTGTTTGTTCCCCTGGAGAGTTTTGCTTCTGCTTCTTATCATATACATACACAATGGATCATATGTATCTTTATAATGATTAGGAACCACATATGAGAGTGACTAACTTTCCTTTAAAAAATTAAAAATTCAAACTAAAGCCATTTATGATAGTCTGATTTTAACATTGCATGCAGTATTCTTTAAGTAAGAGGTTCCAGAAACACTGTGGCAGCTTATGTATATCTGTATGTAAAAACATTTGTCTCTATTTATTGTGGCTGTGCAGTTTGTAGTTGAAAAGCCTTGGTTAGCCTTTGGTAGTGATGCCACAGGCTTCTCACCCACGCAGCTGACTGCTTGTTTCTGAGCTGAGGCAGTGGCATTACTAGTTTGATAAGACAACAAAATAAACTAGAAGCCGATGCCATGATGTGAAATAGGCTATATGAACTTAATTGGATATTTTTTTAATGTATTTGTTTCATTGCTCACAAATATATGAGGGCTGATCGGGACAAGATTTGGGGGCATGAGTTGCTGGTTTTTCTTGTTTTGCTTTGTTTGTTTCTTGTGAATTTAAACAATACTCTTTTTTGTGTGTTTAGTACTTGGCACAGCCCCCCTTTCTTGGTTTCTGAACAATTCATTTTATTTCATCTTTTTTATATTTGGCTACTTATTTAGGCAGGGTCTCATGTATCCTAGTCTGAGCTTATACTTGCTGTGTAGCCCAGGATGGTGTCAAACTCATGATCCCCTAGTCTTCACCTCCTCAGCACTAGGATTACAGACCTGTACCTCCACACCTGGTTTGTATATAACTGTGAGTCTTTTGCACGCTAGGCACTTGATCAGATGAGCTATATCCCAAATTCCCCAAATTTATTTTTCTCCGTATTTTAAGATTCCCATTGCCGCAAAACTAATAGTAGTTGCAATAGTAAATTTGATTATATGCAGTATTACTTCCCAAAGACTGTGGCTTTTTTCCTAAGGCTCAGGAATGTGTCTGCCTGGAAGTTGATTGATGCTTAAGTTTAGATACTTTCATGAGGTTTTTCTTTTCTTTATTATTTAGTATTTCATTGAGTAGTAACCAAGGCTGATGGATTTTTTTTTTGTAGTGATAGTGCAATATCCGCCCCTCACCCCCAAAAAGGGATCTCCAGGATCATCTTGATTGGAGATTATGGGTCTTGGTTTTCTTTAATAACCCAGTCCCACCGCAGACCACTGTCCCTTGAGTCTTGATGCATTTTTTTATAGATTCCTACTATGCATTTTTTAATAGATTCCTACTATTGTTTCAGCAGTGAGTGACATATAAGGATTTTACTACTCATTTTACTGTGACATTGATAAATGAGCTAGTTTCTTCCCTTCTGTCCTTAAAACCTTAAGTGGAAAAAAGTTCAAAGCCTTTTTTTTTTTTTTGTAAGTCACATATACCATTTTTATGGGCACTTTACCGGTGATAGCTTTTATTAACCTCTTCTATAAATTCTTGGGATATTATTTTCCTGATGATTTAAAGAATGAACATGTGTTTTGAAGCTATGTATCTAGCAAAGCATGTTCTTTGTTATTCATGGCAGTGTTCTATTACCCATTTGCATGTGTGTGTATATAAATAATGGGCCACATTTGTACATAGGTAATAATATCACTGTATGTGTATCATCATTGTGTGAGTCAAAAATCCCATGAAATAGTTTTTACTTAAAAACATAGTTTTATTTTTAGGATGGGTTTAGTTTATATGAACCTGATCAGAAAGAGCATTATTCCCAGGAAGGGAAGCTGTTTCCTTCCTACATGGAGTTCCTCCTCATAGTTACCCGGCTGGCTTTGGTGATAGTGTGCATTTGTTACCAATGGATGAGGCAGTCATTTGATAGTTCACCCTTCATGTTATACACTTTAGGAGTCTGGACAAATGGATCATGAATACAGCCATGATACCAGCATCATGCAGAGCAGTTTCTCTGTGCTCCTATTAAATCCTCCTTTCTGTAATAGCGAAAAGTACTGCTAGAAGATGGGATGATTTTCCATGAGTCATATAGATAAACAAGTGTGGAGTTGCTCTGCTTGTCTAGACTCTGTTCTCCTATTTCCTACACCAGACTGCCTGATTCTTCACAGTAGGTAAATTGGTGTAGGGACTCGATGGGGTAAAATTGCTCCTCTTACCGTGGGAAAGCCCACAGACACTTACATATGAATCTTTGCTCCAGGCTTCCTCTTCTACTTTGAAGTTCAAACTTGAGACATTTCTTAAAGAACATTGCAGTTTTAGTCACTGGATAGTTGATGAGACTGACTAGAGAGTAGCTACTGAATGCAGTGCCATTATTGAAATGAAGGATCTTCCCAAATCCATTTTTCTGAGTATGAGGTTATCACTAGTTATAGGTGATGGAGACTGGGGGGTGATGCATAGCAGTTAGGACAGTAGGTGAATGTAAGAGGTAGGAACACTGTGGCTTTTCTTTTAATGAGTGGATGAAAAAACTCTTAGAAAATACAGAGAAACTAGTCAAAGTTGCATAGATTGAGAATAACAAGCTAATTATACACATTTAACTTTGAAAAATTGTTTGCCATAACATTGATTTAAAAGATGTATGTGAAGAAAGAATGAGTCATTGCCTGAGGTGTATGGTAGTATATAAACGAGGAGGAACATACAGATGATTACTGTGGGCAAAGCTGTCTGGACATACCCTGGTACTTAGCTGTCACTTAGAGTCCACATAGATCTTCATTCCTGCCAGGCCAGACTAGAGACAACTTTGGGAAATTTTTTTCCTAGTGTTCTCTCACTTGTTATACCATGGATAATTGTGCAGGAGCAATAACCAGGTCAAGGTCACATTGCTTCATAAGCTGCCTGGATTATATTATTTCAAGAAAAATAAACTAGTTTCATGAAAACATTTCTCTTTTGTTGTTGTTGTCGTCTCTGTGTTGTCACTAGTTGCTTAAAACTAAGGCTAAGAGGGTAAACTAGTTTCTGATTAAGTCCCGTGTTAGCAGAACTTAAGTGCTCAATGATTGCACCAATGAGAAATAGTTGTTGGAAATTCTCCAAGTCGTGACTTTCTTTCTTCCTTGGAAGAAGGTAGTAATTGCATTGGCAAAGGGACATTTGCGAGTGGCAAGGGGTGGGGATGGGGGTCTAGAAGAGAACTAGTGTTGCTTTCATCACTTGGGACTAATGTCTGTTCCCTGCACACTCCAAGCAGAAAACGTGGAGGTTTTTAAAACCTATCACTCATTGTCTTAGTGTTGTCTCATTTACCCCTTGCTGTGTTTAACATTTAGCATCACTGAGCTGAATCTGGGGGTTGACTCTCCCAAGCGTGATGTGTGCCCAAAGAATCAAAGAAGTGAATGAACATGGGAAAGAGCTCTTCTTCAGCACAGACCAGAATTCTGTGTTTCTTTACTTTTTTGTGAGTGCATGCAAAGTGTGTGTGTGCACACATGTGTGAGTTTATTCCTGCATGCTTGTGTTTGCTGCTGGTAATTGAAACTTAACCTAGGACTTTATACTAGACCATGGCACTATATTTGCCCATATTTTAACTTATTTTTGAGACAAAGTCTTTATAAGTTGCCTAGCTTAGCTTTGAATTCACTTGGTGTAGCCCACACAGACTTGTGGAACTTGTGGTCCTCCAGCTCCAGCCTCCTGACTATAGGAACAGTCTTAGAATTATAGGTCTGTGACCTCTGGTCCAGCCTGAATATTTGTTTATAGACTCAGGCATATTCCCACTCTTTGTTCCAGCATTATAGAGCTGTGCAAATACTTTCTCTCAATTAGAATTCCTGTGTCAAAGCCATTCCTAGCTTATCTGCCTCTACATGAAATTATTAAAAGACAAGCAGAATGGAACTTGATGGTTGGAAGTATACTTCATTTTCACTCCAAGTGCATAACTCCTATTGGCAGTAGCAGCTGTGACACGAGATGAGGGAATGTGTTATTAAGATAAAATAATACAGGCAGTAAAACAGAAAGTGAAAGGGCTTGGCATTAGCTCAGTTGGTAAAGTTGTTGCAAGTAACTCAGCTCATTCATCAGAACAGAGGTTGGGGCCTGGCAAGGCAGCTTGGCAATTAAGGGCACTTGCTGCTCTTCCACAGAAACCAGGTTCTGTTCCTAGAACACACATGGCAACCGGCATGAACTTCAGTTCGTGGGATTTGATACTCCCTTATGGCCCCTGCAGGCTCCAGGCATGCATATGGTACACATACATACACACATGCAGGAATATTTAACATCTCGGATCATCTTCTGGCCCCCACATACATGTGCACGTATACACACTCATCCAATGCACACACACTACTCAAAGAAGACCTAAAATGCCACTGATGTTTCTATAAACCCATTTTGGCATTTTTTATTTTTATGATACTTATAAAAACCATTTCAGTTCCCCAGCCTCCTCTTCGATCACTTTCATTGGCTCAGCATCATTTCTAGTCTTCTCTTCTTGATGCTTCCCAGGATCCTGAAATCAGTCTTTATTCTCAACCCATTCTTCTTGGTCATTCTCAAAAGAAATAAGTGCCCAGCCCTCTGCCTTGCCCCCTGCCCCGCCCCACACTGTTTATCTGACAATATTAGTGCATTTCATTTGTGCCCAGGGGTAAAACATAATCCATCACGATCTGCTGCTGAATCATCCATTTTCTCTGTTTTTAAGGGTCGTAAGAGTGAGGCTGAAAAGTTCTTCTTGAAGGCCATTGAGCTGGATCCCACCAAAGGAAACTGTTACATGCACTATGGTGAGTGGTAATGCTTTCCCCATGACACCCCCCCCCCATCTGCTGTCAATGTTCAAGTGACATTTCAGTTCTCTGCTGGTCAAGGACCTTAGACAGCAGGTTGACTTCCTCCTTCCAGATTTAGCCTCATGCTACATCCTTCTGTTTCCATTTAAAATGCCACTCACAGGAGGACTCTGAACTATATTTTCCTCCAGCAAATTTCATTGGCCTTTAATGGACAAGGCAGGTTTCCAGTTGTTTCTTTCAAGTTCAGCACAGAGTTTTAAATGAGATCTCATCAGGAAAGCATATAGCTCTTTGTCTGAGGCAGAGTTTATAATAAAAATATTAGCTTATTTTTTCATCTCTACAGTAATGTATTGCTCATGGAGCATGCCAACTTGATGTTTTAGGAGTTTACATTTTGGCCTCACTGGCTTGCTGTCTGGAAGATATGAATGTATACCAGGCTGTAAATGCCCGAGAGTGAGGCCAAGCTTATGCTATAACAAATATAAGGAATTTCTGTCTCATGTAGTTTAGCCTTGGCCTTAATCATCCCCGAATGAGCTTCCATAACACTCTGTTATTATGGTGACTCATGTGTTTAGCCAGCAAAGTATACAGCAGGTTGGTGCAGGATAAGATGTACTGTGTCTACAAGATTTGTAGATGGGCTTCTCTCAAGGAACAACAACAAGCATTTTCTTCTGCTAATCCCATGGGAAACAAACAAAATACTGATTTTTTTAAAAAAAATTACTTCTGACTTTAATGTGTTAGGTATTATTGAGTAGTAAATGTAAACATGGACAGAAATGAAATCCTTAGAAAATATACCTAATGTTTCTATATAGTTTCAATTCCTTCTTCCAGTTTTCAGCTTGAAAGAAAAAAAGAGCAGTGATGGCTAGGAGTGTAGGAGAATGGAAATAATAAAATGGAGGAAATACTGAGCCAACCACATGTGCAATTTGTATGTATATATTGTTGTATGTATATATGCTTGTGAACCTAGGCACATGATGCTGTTTTGGGCATAATTCTTGATACCAAGGCATATGACATACTTTATGACCACTCTATCTTTGCTCTTTTCCCACTGTGTTAAGTAATAGTTGAGTAATTCTACTTGGCTGCAGAATTTATTTTTATTTTCACAAGTTTTCTTATATGAAGTATTTAGAAATTAGTGTTTTCTCATACCTTCTATTTTTCATTCCCCTATCAAACATCAGATTATCTCCATGTTTCTTTTGCTAGAGCATTAGATGACTGTTGTCAGGGCGTTTAGGAAATAGATGTTCTCTTCCCCACCTTTCTGCTTATTTTTCCTTTGTTTCAAACTGGTTCTGTTTTATGTATCTTCTGATCTAATTTCCAGTATGATTAAGTAGTGAGTAGGAATCCACATAATTAATTTCTTTACACCCTACTATTGCTGCATGATTTCTCCTGCCTTTACAAATAAATGGAAAAGTCTCAAAGGAAAGATTAGTTAGGGCACAGTCTACACATGCACAGAAGCCTATAACCAAGAACTTGAGATGATATTAATAATTTGGCTTGTAGAGCTGACAGATTGTTTTCAATTTAACTCTATATCTATTCTCTGTTTTGCAAACAAATAAAGTGAAGTCTTTAAAATCAAAGATGATTCAACCAAATTTAGTGTAGCTGAGCAACTTCTGCATCTCTCAGTTACTCATTCTTTTTCCTTTTATAACATATGTTCTATTTCCTTTTATAGCATTGGTAGATTGACAGACAAATAGACAGTTTTATCTGTAGGTCTTTGTGTACAGAATTTAAGAATGTTATGACTTAGCTTAAAGTTCTTAGAGGAGGATTTATTTCATTTTTATAAGATATGTCTACGCAAGACATTATTCCCTATTCAGAAAATTCTGTGAAGGAATAAATATCATAATGTCATCTTCAGAAGGTGATCAGGTAGAAGGTGGAAATTTTTTTAAGAAGAGTTAGCTATACAAGTGTACAGTGTGTGCCATCTCCGAGAACATGCCTGCTATCCGAAGAGCAAGGTGTCAGTAGAAGAACTGGAAAGTTCAAGGTTCCAAGACAAGAGCAAGTAAAGAATAGCTCATGTGACTGGAGCTGGACAAACTAGATGGAGAAGTGGAAGATGAGATTAAGGAGGAATTAGATAGAGGTCCAGGGGGCTTTGCAATCCAAGCTAAGGAGTGTTTCTTTTACAAGTGCTGGGAAGGATCAAACTGAGAAGACAGGGCAAAGATGTCAAGGTACAGAAAGGAAAAGTTTTTACAGAGTGATTGCTGTGTATTGGGCAAGGGATGATGACAGTTTGAGATTGGGAGTTATTCGGAAAGCTGATACATTAAAAGTGTCCCCCCTTTAGATAATCTTATATTCTCCCCTTTAGATACGTTTATATTAAGAGTGGGAAGAATTCTGTTTCCTCTTTTCTGTGCCATCAATACCTAGTGTATTGCCAAATTCCCAGTAATGTCCCATGCTAGAACAGAATCTGGAGCACAAAATTCATTGAAAGGATGTTTTGTTTGAATTTTCATTATTTTTATCCAAGAAAAATCATTTTTGTTTCTAGTATCAGTGACTTGCCAACTTGCTAATATATATAGGGTGTTTATACCCACAGATTGAATGAGTAAAAACACTCCCTCAACTTGAAAATAAATATTTAAATGAAATGTATGTGTTCTGAGTCTTTTAAAGATGCACTTCAAATGCCAGTGAAAATGCCAGTGAGTGAATGTCATTTTATGAGAAATCTGCTCTTTCCAGCAATTATGTGCTTTTAGTTTGCTTCTTAATGATATGAGTGATTTGGAAAATATCATTCAGTTGTGACTGGGCAGACAGAATTGCAGGAATTTATATTCGGTTGCAGTGGTGATTAGAAGATGATGTCTAAATATGCTATGGGCTCCTTCTTGTTTAGACCATCTGGTTTTATGTCTGAAGGAAAGAGTTGTAGCAAGGATTTTTTTTTCATTACTGTTTCAATAAAGTTTCACCTGAAAGGTTGTAAAATTTGTTCAAAGAGGTTATTAATGTTGACCTTTGTTAACCTGCAGTCTCTCAGGGAGAAAAAAAGACCGAGTTTTGTCCTGGGCTGAAAATTTAAAAAGTTGGTATTGACTCTTGGATGTGTTCCAGCCCTAAAATTTTCTATCACTTTAATAAGTTATAAAATACTGTTTTTTATATCAGCTCAATGTTTTACTTTTAATAAATGTACAGAAAATGGGTGTCAAATTATTTCAAGGGTCAACTGTAGTGTAACATTATATTCATGCATTGTTGTCCAAATTAATGTTTCCATGTCTGTGGTGCCAATTATATAATCTTGGTAAAGTTTGGTTCACAAATCTCAGGGTGATGTCTCCGTGGGTCTGTTTGTCTCCAATAGGCAGTATCTTCCAGAAAACTCAAAATCATCATAAGCATTCCCTCTTTAAAATCAAAAATGCTATTTTAGAAAAGGCCGTGTAGGAAGATAAAATATATTATAAATATTTTCTTTGGATACATAGAAGCAAATATGATGTGACTAAAAATTATATATATGTATATATAATGTATATATTTTAGCCAATATTTTATTTCTATTAAGAGACACTGTGACCAAGGCAACTGTCATGAAAGCTTACTTACAGTTTCAGAGAGCTAGTCCACAGCCATCCTGTTGAGAAGCAAAGAGGCATGGTACTTGAGCAGTGGCTGAGAGTTTTACCTCTGGAGGCAGCAGGCACAGAGAGCCACCTCTCTCCTTTTAGGCAATGAGTACTTTCTCAGTTTTACATTTGTTAAATACATATATCTATGCTCAATTTTTTATTTGTTTTTGATTTTTGAAGCATGGTTTCTTTGTGTAGCTCTGGCTCTCCTGCAATTTACTCTGGAGACCATGCTGGCCTCAAACTCTGAGATACACCTGCCTCTACTTTCCAAGTACTGGCATGAAGAGCATGTATCACCACTGCCCAGATAATTTTTAAATTACTTATTAACAGAAAAGAAACTCTATCCTACCTTAAGGTCCATTCTCAAAAGATACTGAGAATAGTTATTAAGGTAATTCATGGTAAATAATTCTGGATCTGAAAGTTGGAATAGCTAATGTGGTGGCTCATGAGGAAAAGCACTTTCTACAGAAGCTTGATGACTTGAGTTTGAGTCACAGATCTCATGCTGGAAGGAGAGTCCTGCCTCCCAAGGGATGTGATAGGACAAGCACACATCCATAATCACACACAAATCATACATACCTCCATTATAAAGTTAATGAATCAATGAATCATATTTGAAACAGATGGCCAAGCACAGAGTAATGTTCCTCCGATATTTACACTGGAAATTTCTGAGCAAGGATGTCACCTGCCTAGTTACTATCATTTTCATACATGAATGTAACTAAGGTGCATTCCTGCATCACAGGGGTGAAATGATGATCATGATAGGACCAGAGAACACTAGGCATAGGTTAAGGTATTTTATATATTTATGGATGTTCTCAGGATCCTAATACTGACAGTGCTAGAGTTTGAATGTATTTGGCCCCTTCAATCTCATAGGGAGTGTTACTATGAGGTGTGACTTTGTTAGAGTGGGTATGGCCTTGTTAGAGGAAGTGTGTCACTGTGGGTATGGCTTTGATGTTTCCTGTGCTCAGGATAACACTTAGTGTCTCAGTCAACTTCCTGTTGCCTGCAAAGCAGCTAGCTCCCCATGATGATAATGGACTGAACCTCTGAAACTGCAAGTGAGCCACCTCAATTAAATGTTTTCTTTTTGAGAGTTGCCATGGTCATAGTGTTTCTTCACAGCAACAGAATTCTTCCACTAAGATACCAACTAAAAGTCAAGATAGTCGCAACCATTAAAAACCTAAAGTTCTGTTTAACAGAAAGACAACACAGCTGATTTCCAGCTTCAGAATGCCTAGGTCCTGCCTTCTCCTAGTTGACAAACCTTAAATTTTCCTAGTACCCTTGTAGTCTCCACACTTGGGG